AGGCATATAGGTCAGTGGAACAGAACAGAGAACCCAGAAATTGACCCAAGCTGTTACGCTCAATTAATATTTGACAAAGGAGGCAACAGCATACAATGGAGTCAAAAGGGTCTCTTTGATAAATGGTGTTGGGAAAATAGGACAGATATGTGCAAAACAAACAAACAAAACAAAACAAAAAACTAGACCACCAACTTACACCATACACAAGAATAAACTCAAAATGGATAAAAGGCTTAAATGTAAGTTGTGAAATCATAAAAATCCTACAAGAAACCACAGGCAGCAAAATCTCAGACATCTCTCGTAGCAATATGTTTACAGATGTATTCCTAAGGCAAAGGAAACTAAGGAAAAAAATAAACAAACGGGACTACATCAAAATAAGAAGCTTCTGCACAGCAAAAGAAACCACCAACAAAATGAAAAGAGAGCCTACTGTATGGGAGAACATATTTGGCAATGATACATCTGATAAAGGATTAATATAAAAAACATATAGGGAACTCATACAACTTAACAAAAGGAAGACAAATAATCCAATTAAAAAATGGGCAAAGGACCTAAATAGACACTTCTCCAAAGAGGACATATGAAAAAACTAGAGGCCCAATGCACAAAATTTGTGCAAGAGTAGGCCACTGCAACCCTGGCTGCCTTGGCCCTCACAGCCCCGGCTTCGTCTGGAAGGTCATCCAGACAGTTGTTCCACTGTTCGGCCATTTGGTCAATTTGCATACTGAGCTTTTATTATTTAGACTAGAGGCCCAGTGCATGAAATTCGTGCACTGGAGGGGGGGAGGGGTGTGTGTCCCTCAGCCCAGCCTGCACCCTTTCCAATATGGGACACTTCGGAGGATGTACGACTGACATCCCTCTCACAATCCGGAAACACCGGCTCCCAACTGCTCGCCTGCCTGCCTGCCTGCCTGATTGCCCCTAACCACTTCTGTGTGCCAGCCTGATTGATGCCTAACTGCTCCCCTGCCAGCCCGAATGCCCCTAACTGCCCTCCACTGCTGGCCTGGTTGCCCCCAACTGCCCTCCCCTGCCAGCCTGATCGCCCACAAAACTGCCCTCCCCTGCCGGCCATCTTGTGACGATGTGGGGGAGGCCATCTAATGATGACATGGGGGCGGCCATCTTGTGATGATGTGAGGGCGGGAGGGCCACCTAGGCTTTTATTAGTATAGATGCTCAAAGTCACTAATCATCTGAGAGATGCAAATCAAAATAACAATGAGGTACCATTCTCACACCTGTCAGAATAGCTACCATCAACAAATCAACAAATAACAAGTGTGGAGAGGATGTGGAGAAAAGGGAACCCTAGTACACTGCTGGTGGGAATGCAGACTGGTGCAGCCACTGTGGAAAACAGTATGGAGTTTTCTCAAAAAATTAAACATGGAACTGCCATTTGACCCATTGATTCACTTCTAGGAATATATCCTAATAAACCTGAGACACCAAACAGAAAGAATGTATGCACCCCTATGTTCATAGCAGCACAATTTCCCTATATTCATAGCAGCACAATTTACAATAGCTAAGATCTAGAAACAGCCCAAGTGTCCATCAGTAGAGGAGTGGATAAACAAGCTGTGGTACATTTATACCATGGAATACTATGCAGCTGTAAAAAAGAATCCCTTACTCTTTGGGAAGGACCTGGAGAGTATTACACTAAGTGAAATAAGTCAGTCAGAGAAAGACAAGTATCACATGATCTCACTCATATGTGGGATCTAATGAACAAAATAAACTGATGAACTGAGTGGATCCAGAGATATAAAAGCATGAAACAGATTATAGAATCTCAGAGGGAAGGCGGGGGATGATGGGTGGGTGGGAAGACCACTGAAATAACTTGTATGCATATATGCATAACCCATGGAAATAGACAACAGGTTGGTGAAAGCCTGGGGCGAGGTGCAGGGGGGCAGGCTAGAAGGGGTCAATGGGGGAAAAGAGAGGGCATATGTAATACTTTCAACAATATACATAAATTAAAAAAAAAAAATAAAACAGTATGGAAATTCCTCAAAAAATTAAGAATAAAGTTACCATATGACCCAGCAACCCCTCTTCTGGGTATCTACCTGAAAATTTTGAAAACATATATGCACCCCTATGTTCACTGGAGCATTACTGATGGTGGCCAAGACATGGAAACAACTAAAGTGCCTTTAGCTAAGTGACTGGAAAAAGATGTGTTACATATATACAATAGAATACTACTAAGCCATAAGACAGGATGAAATAGTGCCATTTGCAACGTGGATGGATCTTGAGAATATCATGCTAAGTAAAATAAGCCATTCAGAAAAAGAACTATATGAGTTCACTCATATGTGGGATATAAATTGAAAGTTAACAAATGAACAAATAAGAAAAACAAATAAAAACTCAGACACAGACAACAGTATCGTGGTTACCAGAGGGAAGGAGAGTGGGGGAACAGAAATGGTAAAGTGGGCCAAATATGTGATGACAGAAGATGATTTGACTTTGGGTGGTGGACACACAATGCAATATATAAATCATGTATCACAGAAATGTACTTGAAAATTATATGATCTTATTAAGTAATGTCATCCCAGTAAATTTAATTAAAAAAGAGGACCCAAATAAAATTATAAATGAAAGAGGAGTGACACCCAACACCACAGAAATACAAAGGATTATAAGGAAATACTACAAACAATTGTATGCCAACAAATTGGACAACCTGGAAGAAATGGATAAAGTCTTAGAAACACACAATCTTCCAAAACTAAGTCAAGAAGAACCAGAAAATGTGAATAAACCAATAACTATTAACAAAATTGAAACAGTATTAATAGAAACTCCCAACAACAAAAGCACGGAACCAGGTGGCTTCACAGGTGAATTTTAGCCATCATTCAATACCTATCCTTCTCAAACTATTCTAAGAAATTAAAGAGGAAGGCTCCTAAGCTCATTTTAAAAGCCGGCATTATCTTGATACTCAAACCAGAGAAAGACATTACAAAAAAAGAAAATTATAAGCCAATATCCTTGATGAACATAGATACAAAAATCAATATTAGCAAACCAAATTCAACAATACATTAAAAAGATCATATCGTACACCAGGATCAACTAGGATTTATTCCCAAGATGGAAGGCTAGTTCAATATCCACAAATCAGTTAACATGATGCACCACATAAACAAAACAAAGGATAAAAATCACATGATCATATCAATAAATTCAGAAAAAGCATTTGACAAAATCTAGCATCCATTTATGATAGAAGCTCTCAGCAAAGTGGAACATACCTCAACATAATGAAGGCCATATATGACAAATCACAGCCAACATCATACTCAATGGGCAAAAATTAAAAACGTTTCCCTTAATATCAGGAACAAGACAGGGATGTCCGCTTTCACCATTTACTTTCAACAGGGTACTGCAAGTCCTAGTCACAGTAATAAAACAAGAAATAAAGGGCACCCAAATAGGAAAGGAAGAAGAAATTAATAATGGAAGAAGTAAATAATCTGTCATTATTTGCAGATCACAAATCTTCATAGTCATTCAGTGTCACCCTATACTCTCAGACCTAGTATGCTGTCCACATTTCTATGTTTTTCCAGTTGGTACTAGAAATCATTGATCCCATCACTCCCCAAACACTTCCTCATGTTGGTTCCTGTGGGATGACCACAATTATCATTTCTTATTTGTAGCTCCTCACACCATTCACAAGATAATGTAGGTTGTCAAAAACATACCAAGTCATTTTAACTTACAATATCATTCAGAGTCATACCAAAGGTACTAAACTCCAGGATGACTTGGTTTCTGTGGCCCTCCAGTCAGTGCATTCATGCAGAATGCCTGCTACAAACTATTCCTTTGAAAGAGTATTTATTTATAAAATAAATAAATTTTATTTTTCCATTTACCATATTCTCCATGGATATTCTGACAATAAATATGTGACTTACATTAGCAGCATTACTTTTAGGCCAGATTTTAGAATTTTAGAATAACAACTTATTGACTATCTAGCACATACAACATCTCTACTGTACTAGTCAGAAGTTATAAAGGAAAATAAAAGGTTGGTATCTTTACAGGTTTTACAGATTCAGAATTTAGCTTAAGAGTATTGAGAACTACCATTTATTGAGCACTTATTATAAGCCAGGTGCTTTTCCTATCACAATCTTCTCAAATATCTTACAAAATAGATAATTCCATTTTACAAAAGAGGAGTCTGGGACTAAGAGTTACATAGTAAATGACTGAGCTGGCATTTGAACCCAGATCTCTCCGTGACTAAAATGCTCCATACTGGTTTCTCTGATACACACTGATCACCAGCCCTACTCAACCACAGGCCCACTTCAAAGCTCAACCACCACATCCATTCCCTTCACACAGAAGCCCTGTATCTGTGATGACAATGAAAAACCAAACACCAGATTTACATTCAGTACACTTGTTGTTAACTAAACCTAGACAAAGTCAGACTGAGAACCCTTCGAATAACATTTCTGTGTGTGTGTTTCTCCCTCAGTAGGAAAGAATCAAAAATTTAATGAGAAAAAAATCATTTTTTTCAAGTGTGCTACATTTAATACCAAAAACTAAAAGTAACATCACCTTCTAGATCTTATACATTTAGTGGTGACCCACTGACAAATGAAGCAGAAAAATAAGCCATCATCCAGACAACTTTTGGCTAACTACATAATACTTTTGCAAAATCAGGAATTTTGTCAGTATGATATAATCATCAATTCACTTATTTGCTGCATGCACTTTGACAATATAGACCATACTTTAGAGTATTTTCTGATACAGGTAGACACAAGAGGCAGGTCGCACCAATCTTGGTAGTCAAAATGGAGGCTCTCAGTTCACCTATCTTGTTTCCCTTTTCATCGGCTACTGTACCTGTGAAGCAAGGCCTAAAGGAAGCCCTATAGCAGTATCTGATGAATCCAAGGTATGGTACTTACCACATTAGAGTTGAGATGAGAAGACCAACACCCACACAATCTATGAACACAACCCAAAGGAGCAGCTTTATCATCTTAAAAAATCCCATGTCCAGCACAAAGCCAAATCCTACAGTGGACACTGAAAGAAAGATTTACAAGATTCATCAGGCACTTTGCAAGGTTCTGGGGATACTGGACACAGCCCCTGCACCTCCAGATGCCCTCCGTCCAGTGGGAGAGAGACATGAAAACAAAACCCCCAAGATGTGTGCTATGGGATTAAGAAATGCAGACCAACGTGGAGCATGGAAGGGCCACTGAGCTATCTCGCTTACCAAGAAGGACCTCGTCTGTCTGTGCTTCACCAGGGTGGCCCAGCTTCTCAGTTAAAGGTGAGAAAAACCTCACACTTCAACACCCTAAAGACGTTCCCTACACTACCGAAGAACTTAAAAGTAGTTTCTCAAGTTCCTAGCAGTGTTTCTACAACTCCCCCTCTGCATTTCCCTGATGGTGAACAGCAATTTACAACCTTGACGTTCCTTCCTGTTCACAGTAAGTTTGCCTTTGGGGACGGAGGTATTTGTCACAGTGGTTAGGAGGCACCGAGAGCCTCTGTTCCTCCGCTTTTTCATGTTCCCAGGTAACGGCTTACTCTGGCAACGGCTTGGGCCCTTTAGAACCAGGAAGAATACAGAAAAGAGGCAGTAGCTTTAAAGGAACCCAAATTCCGACCCACAACAGTTTACAACAAAAGAGTCCCCAAAGGGCAAGTCCGAGCACACGCTCAATTTGTCTTTTCAACTGCAGACCAGCGCACACTTACCGCACAGCCAGACACTTAGCAGCACCAAGAAAGCCGGGTCGTCTCTCGCCCACTGATCCTTGGTCTGCTTTCGGTAATGAAAGTTCCTATAGACCCTCTGCGGGGAAGTGAACAGGTAGAGCATCTGCCAGCCAGCAAACTCGAAGTCCATTTGCCGGAAACGGAAAAGCCTTCTCAGGTATTTGTAGCGCTTCGCCCCCGCCGTGTGTCTCGCTGCATCCCTGGAATTCAGGGCTCCGTTCCCCTGCAGCGGGGAGCTCGCTGAACTTGGTAACATCTTCCTGGGGGGTAAAACCTTTTACTAGGAACAGGAAGGACTCCTCTTCCGAGACATGCAGGAGGGGGGTCGCCTGACACTTCTGCCCCACTCCTTCCTTGGGAAGGGACAGCTGGCATAGTGGCCAGGGGCAGCACCACACCATGCTGAACCATCACAGTAACGCCTAACACCTATAGGGGCCATATCTCAATCTGAGAGAGAGAGAGAGAGAGAGAGAGAGAGAAAGAGAGACAGAGAGAGAGAGAGACAGAAAGAGACAGAGAGACAGAGAGAGAGAGAGAGAGAGAAAGAGAGACAGAGAGAGAGAGAGACAGAAAGAGACAGAGAGACAGAGAGAGAGAGAGAGAGAGAGACACAGAAAGAGAGACAGAGACAGAGAGAGAGACAGAGAGAGAGAGAGAGAGAGAGCGCGCTCAAATTCCGTGCTCCTAGGTGCCCGCCTCTACGTAAATGACCTAATCGCACAGGTGGTCCATCAAAGCATTACCAGTTCCCTAGAAGGTGATTTAAAAATAAAGCAAAACTAAAACCCAGTGTTTCGCTCCACGAAGAGTTCATC